GAACACATGATTTCTCTTACAGTATCATCCCACAGGTACCAGAAGCTTTTAATGAGTGTACCTACATATCATATATCCCACGTGCTGGCGCCACAGCAGACGAAGTATGACATCACAGTAGATTATCGAAACACACCAATAAAATTATTGTTTGCCTTAACACGCCGACGCTAAAATTACTCATAAAATCGTAATACTTACTTATGTTCTTTGGGTCAAGGGTACAGGAGATATGTTTTGTATTATAGTAATAAATTATAAATAAGATTATTAAACGTACTTGGTGAGACATTTTAGTATTTCTGAAAACCCCCTATAGCTTTTTAAGAAAGGATTTTTGGAAATTTATTCCCTACTAGCTGACCCGCGCAACTTCGTCTGCGTCTCTCAAAAGTAATAAATTTTCTCCGTTTTTGAAATATTCTTCATTGGTGCTCTGCTCCTATTAGTCTTAGCGTGATGATATATAGCCTATAGCCTTCCTCGATAAATGGGCTATCTAACACTGAAAGAATTTTTCAAATCGGACCAGTAGTTCCTGAGATTAGCGCGTTCAAACAAACAAACAAACAAACAAACAAACTCTTCAGCTTTATAATATTAGTATAGAAGAGGTTAAAATAAGGACTGAACGATTGTATGGAAGGTCACCGTTTTCAAAATTAGAAACACGGTATAAGAAATAATCAAACAGATATTATAGTATCACGTTTAGTTTCAAGGTAGTTTTTTGGGTTACTTCGGGGTACTAGGGATTTCCTTTCTAGGGTACACCTGGTTCACCGGCAACTGGTACCCGAGACGGCGTGCGTTTTTTGGTCGGTTCAAGTCCGACATAACCATCCCACTGATGGGTGGTATCCGAGGGGATTTTCGCACAGAAAAAAGAGGATAGTTTTTAGGGTAGATTCAACAATTTTTGGATTATAGACGATATATAATGATAGCACGAATATGGTCTCGAGTGATGCCGATCCTAGAAATTGATTGTAGGTATACGCTCTCAGAGCAACCTGCGTATTATTTCACTCCTTCTCTTCTTTCTTCTTCTTCCTCGTTTTACCCACTCACTCGGTAAAAAGCAATGAAAACAAAGGTAGTGGCACTCCAGGAGTGGCGACAGAAAAAAAATTGTTTTTTTATCTTTTTTTCGATTCAAAAAGTTCCTACATGAATACGATCTATCTATTTTGTACGTATACACACAATATATCTTTTTATATGTTTATATAATATATAGAGTTATATTATCGATGTATTTCAACCCAAACTCTACTCTCGTCTAAACGGGGCCAATATGTAGATACTTATATACAGAAGTGTCGGTAACGTTAACAGTATCGGGAGTTCAATGGTTTTGTCCCATCTTTTGTTTGTTGTTCAAAAATTCTTAACACCAGTTTTCTGTGAATATATCCAGCAGTGGACTGCCATGGCTGTTGATGATGATGTGGCCTACTATTCCGGTGGAGCTAAAGTATGGCTCTCCCACGCTTGTAATATCCTGAGAGGGAATTAAACCCATTACCTGTTACTCAGTGGTCAAGATTATTGATCCCACCACTGGACAAACTTTATATTTATGTAACTACAAGAGATTATCGACAATTAGATAAAAATCTAAGTCGATATTAAAATAAGTACATGTGTAATTTCTAATTACATAAGTAATTACGTGTAATACTTGAAGTGCGATTTCTTATATACAAGAGTATTTTATATTATCATACTATTCTAGCGTCTTTGATTTTTTTCTTATTTAGTGTTTCTAACTTTGAAAATGGCGAATTTTCATACAACCTTTCATGCCATATTTTACCCCCTTAGGGGTGAAATTTCCAAAAATCCTTTCATAATTAATTTCAAAAGCACTGCCCTAGTAGGTTCGACTCCCGGACCGGGCAAAATTTTAAAGGGTTTTTTCTGAGAGAAAAAATAGCCTAAGTTACTCCATATATACAGACAGTTACCTGGTAGTAAAATATTATAAAAATCGGTCCAGCCTTTTAGAAGATTACTCGGAACAAACAAATTTTAAACTGATTTTTAGGTATAGGTATCGTGCACATAACCGTGTGAGCATGAAAAAAACTATTATTTTGACATTACAAACAGAAACTTCAATTTTATTTATAAATTATAGATATATATTTACGGGCCTGTCGGTCTAGTGGTTAATGATCCTGACTGCTAAGCCGGATGTCGTGGGTTCGATTCCCACCCAGGACAAATATTTGTGTGATGAGCACGATCGTTTGTTCTGTGTCTGGGTGTAATTTATCTATAATATCTATGTATTTATAAATATATAAGTATGTTTATCAGCAGTCTGGTTATCATAGTATAGGCTCAGTCTAGTTTGGGATCAGACGGCCGTGTGTGAGATGTGTGAGGCTATTATTATATGTGGATCCCATAAGCTGTACTGAAACTAAAAGACGACAAACCATTCCAAATCTTGTTCGACCTCTCTTTAAACATGTCTATGTAAGGAAATATTTTTGTTTTCTTGGCCCTTATCTATATGCCAAAATTAATAACATATTAAGCCTTTACAACCTTAATAAGAAACAGTGCTAGAATAAAATATTCGCATTTATACATAAAGGGACCAAACTACGCAGGACAACAGCACTGCAAAGAGAAGGAAAATTTGAAACAAACCCTATACCAACCCGTCTGGCCAGCGTGGTATAGTAAGCCAAAACCTCCTTTCTAAGGAGAGGCCTATGTCCAGCAGTGGACTGTTATAGGCTGTTGATGTTGATGATACATAAATTATCGTATGATGAAACTGAAAATCTCCTAAATGTACCACAGTAACCGTTCTACTCACCCTCTCACTTTCACATCTTCACTCCACTCACAGAGAGGACAAATAATACTTTTTCTTGAGCTTCAATTTGCAGTGATGTTTGTATAGCAGTCTGATATTAGTGTTTATTTTTTATTTTTTAAAACTAGTGTAAAACTTTTGTTATAATAAATGGTATAGGCATAGTTAGGTGATGTAATCAGGGAAGAGCGCTGATGTCTAGGATACAGATTTCTTATCTAGTCCAGGCACAGATGCCCCAATTTAAATGTATTATGTACCCACAGTAATATTTGTAAAACCATGTACTGTGCAAAAACACTGTTTATGGAATAAATTATTATTATATTTTAAGTCTACTTCAAATCACATCACACCACATGGAGATGTAACGCGAACCTTTCAAAATATCGCATAAAGACTCGTTATGGCCTTTGAACCCCATTAGGTGGCAGATAATGGGTTTAAAATGGCTGACAACATGGACAAATCCGGGATATCAATGACACGCGGTTGTGAACACGTTTAAATTATATTTTGATGGAGTTCCCGTTATATTAATGGTGTAAACTTGAGAGATATTAATTGCAGGGTTAATTCATTCTTAGTTTATAGTAATATTTTCTTCCAGGCAACATACTAATAAATTAGATATATTTTTTATTCAAGTAATAAGTGCGATGGTTTACTGTTGGCTTGATAGGTCTTACGCTCGTAGTAGTTAGTGATCCTGCTAAATAAGAGGTAATAGGTTCGAATCCCGCCCAGGACAAATAATAGTGTGATAAGCAAAAAAACATTGCTGCAATACCAAATTTAATATTCTTGAACATTAACATCGCTAGGTACAGCTAAACTATGCAGAGCTCTGCACTATAGGCTCTTGAATACTCCTTTTTAGGGTTCCGTACCCCGTAGGGAAAAAACGGAACCCTTATAGGACCACTTTGTTGTCCGTCTGTCTGTCCGTCCGTCTGTTTTAAAAGACCTCTATCTTAGGAACGTGTGGAGTATCGAGTTGAAATTAAAACTATATATACTCAGGTTTACAGTCCCTTGAATAGAATAGAATAGAATAAGCTTTATTGTACACCAGTTCAGTTTATTACACATACAATAGTATTTCAAGTTAATGACCATGTAGAAATGGCGGCCTTATCGCTTAAAAGCAATTTCTTACAGGCAACTTTTGAATGGACAAATAGACTGTAAATAGATAATTTATAATAATGAAACTTCTAAATTAACATAAATAAAAGATACGTTTGCTTATGTCCAAAAGAAACGCATATTTCGACACTCTCAAGGGAATCAAAATTCATAGGGTACTTCCCGTTGCACCAGGGACTTCCTTTCTAGGGTATGCCTGGTTCCCCGGCTATTAGTACCCGAGACGGCGTGCGGTTTTAGTCGGTTCGAGTCCGACATGCCACCGACAGGTGGTATCCGAGGGGATTTCCGAACGAAAAAAAAAAAAACAAAAAAAAAAGGGTACTTCCCGTTGACCTAGAACTATGAGATTGGCAAGTAACATCGTCTTATGCTACAAGTACAGGGAAACATCTGAAAACTATACATTGTATGTAAATCACAAAAAAAATTAGTATTTATTTAAAGTACGAAATCGATCTTCAGATACCTTAACTTAAAGTAAAAAAATCCGGAGAAGTGCGAGTCGGACTTGCCCACCGAGGGTTCCGTACACCTTTGTAGGTACATCAACAGCCTTTAATAGTCCACCGCTGGACATAGGCTTCTCCTTAGAATCGAGGTTTGTACCCCTTTTGTAGGTACATTATTATAAATAGTTCAGAAATCAAATCTCGCAATTTTTGCCGAGCTTTGACTGTCGACCTGAGTATATGGTTTTAATTTCAACTCGATATCTCCACGCGATCCCGAGATAACCGGTCTTGACAGACACATACTGACAACAAAGTGATACTATTCCATTATTTTCCTTTTGAGCTACGGAACTCTAAAAATTTCAAAAGTGATCGTTCTCTAACCCCTTACAAATGATAATCACACTTCTCTTCAATCCTCGAAGTGCCAACTCTAATACCAACACAGAAAATAACATCATCAAATATTAAATTAAAAATAATAATGAATTCATCAAATCAATGTAAGACATGAGCGCGAGGCATGCGCTGGCTTCTCTTAAGGTCGAGTTCCGATAGCAATGACCTGTTTCTCCTTTTATAGGAGCTTGCGAAACAACACCTTAACATTCCCTACAACAGATGGTCTCAGTCTTGGTGAAGGTCGCTGCCTACTGGATCGGGTAAGGTTGCGGGGTAATCATACACTCGGTTAAATTGCACGTTTTAATAAAACCAGGAAGTCACAGAGTCAACAGCTGTTAAATTATAAGATTTATAATGAATGTCAACATTCTTATTTACCTAAATTGTCCAAAAATAATTACTAGGCTTGATAACCGTGCAATTAACGGATACAAAGTCAATTGGAATCATACCCTAATTATTTTACCCTAATTATTTTTGGGTCTCACCACGACTTACCTTCTTCCGTTGTCCTGTCTGTAAACAATTTCAAGGAGGAGACTGTCTGTAGATAATTACAATTTCCAAAGAGGCATCAGGTATATAAGAAACCAGTCAAAACTAACTCTTTGCAATGTTAAATACTGCGCCAATCCCATACAACGAGTAAATTGGCACATCTGCTGGATGGAGGAGAGTTAAGGTTCGTAATGTAATCCATGACTATAGTCGATATAGGTATACCTGGTTACCCGTTCAGAAATTATACCACCGACCAACTTGACTCAATAAATTACGTATTTATCACATCACATCAACAGCCTTTAATAGTCCACTTCTGGACAAAGGCCTCTACTTAGAAAGGAGGTTTTGGTCTACTATAACACGCTGGCCAGACGGGTGGGTATAGGGTTTGTGTCAAGTTTTCCTTTTCTTTGCAGTGTTGTTGTCCTGCGTAGTTTGCTCCCTTAGTCGGATCTTACGACACCCACGGGAGGAATAGGGGTGGCGACACTCCGTATTCTGAATCCGTCACCACACGGACGTACCATACGTATTTATGGACATCATTAAAAATGAATGAAAAGATTAGTGATGAAAAAAGTGATAACGCAATGTAGTTATCATATCGTTGCATTATATTATCGTTAGACAAAGCAGTAAAAAGTGCTCATGTTACAAATAAGTAAATGTGCCAAATAAATCCTATTCTTTTAATTTGTACACACATTATATTTGGAGTCATCTTAAAGGGATGAACCACACGAAACAAATATAAAAATACAAATAACTATAAATATAATTCACTCCGAACTAATAGTCGTATCTGTTTAATACAATACACGATAGTTTTAATTTATTATTAGAAAAGACATCACTGCATTTTATAAAGTGAAGGTCCCACGCATCAGTCTCTCGTAACACTAGAAACTTCAAAAGTGCGGCATTTATTTTTATACAATTTTCACCAATAGATAGTGATTGATGTAGAAGCATGGTGGTACAGCTCCCAGTATCATATATTTACATATATATAAATCTTTATACACCCGGATACTTAACTGAACTGAAATGATCTAATTACAATAACAGGAAAACAAATGTCCGTGTATTGACGGATTAAGAATACGGAATGTCACTACCCCAATTCATCCCGTGGGTGTCGTAAGAGCCGACTAAGGGCGCAAAACAATGCAGGTCACCAGCACTGCAAAAAGAAGGAAAACTTGGCACAAACCCTATAACCAACCCATCTGGCCAGCGTGGTTTAGTAGGTCCAGCCGTGGACTATTAAAGGCTGTTGATGATTATGAAATGGCTTCTACAATCTTACTTTCAGTTTTAAGAAAGAAAAAATGTGTTACATCATTTTTAACAACCATTACTTAATCTCAGAAGGGGGGACCCGAAACCCCAATCAGCAGACGCAACCGCATGCAAGAGCCATCAAGTGAACCACATCCTAAAACCATTTGTATCCTTCACCCATTTCCTAATAGAACACCGGCTGCATCCACTCCATCACAATCAGAGGGGTCAGCAGCCAATGTCACTGTCCGCGAGACAACTAGATCGTGCCAATAACTAAATTACTTTATAACGAACTGTTACTTCACTAGTTGCCAATTTTTTTAATACGATGGTGGATTATGCCTCAATTTAAAAGTGGTAGAGGGAACTGATGTTTATTTACTTAGAATTTAAGATGGCCTTCTCGCTTTGGGAGTCAAAAGACGCGTGTGTTGCATTAATGTTCTATCTATTTCTATTTTTCTATTTATTCTTTATTGTACACACTGAACACATACAAATATATAAGTTACAAGGAAATGTCATGTACAAAAGCGAGCTTAACCCAAAACTGAGTTTTCTTCCAGCAAACCTTGAGCGAATAGAGGACAACAGAGAAACGTAAGGGCACAGTCATGTGTACTTAGGAATCAACACAGAAAAGCATAAAAATTAAACAAATACCGACTTAATTAGGATAGTAAAATATATTATACGTATAATATATATTATTATACGTATAATCTATTATATATAGATTATATATAAGAGATTTCCACGTATATAGTCACTCATCACTATATCTTTGGAACCATTAGAGCTAAAGACTTGAAATTTGGTAGGAATATTCTTTTCACCGAGTAGAGGTCAGCTAAGAACGGATTTTAAGAAATTCAAAAAAAAAAAAAAAAAATGTAAATAGCAAAACAACGTTTGCAGGGTCAGCTAGTATATTTTATGTTCAGCATACACATCATAGATAGATTTACGAGTAGTTGTCTATGAAAACAAAAAAAACATATGATTTTTGAATATACCTCGCACTTTTTGAATTAAAGTCTTGTGTGTAAAGTGAGATAAATCCAAGGTTTACCCAAAAGGTTGTATAGTCTATACTCTTAATTAACCTTGTTATCAATAGCTTATATTGTGTGATGAGTATGATCATTTGTTCTGTATCTAGATGTAATTTACCTACAATCTATACAAATTAATAAAATTGAAGTGTCTGTTTGTAATGTCAAAATAATTGTTTTTTTCATGCTTACACGGTTATTTGCATGATACGTATGCCTAAAAACCAGTTTAAATATTTTTGGTCTGTCTGTCTGTTTGTTCCGGGTAGTCTTCAAAACGGCTGGACCGATTTTGATAATTTTTTACTACCAAGTAGCTGTTTTATATAAGGAGTAACTTAGGCTATGGGAATCGAACTCACTAAGGAAGCGCTTTTCGAATTCGAACGAAGTTAGTACACCAGCGAGTACACATATTTTTTTTATATATTTGTACCGTTTAGAAACTTTATCCCCTATAATGTAATGGGACTGGAATAATGGTCGGCAAAATGAGGCCCTCTGTCGATTTTAATCCCCAGGGTACCACTTCGGGGATTAACATCGACAGAGGCTCACATTTTTTAATTCGTAAGCTTATTTTAGTATATTTATGTACTCATATGTGTTCTGAGATAAACAGTGGACTTCGCTATAAGCTCACTTCTTGGACATAACTCTCCGATCAACGCTAACCACTTCAATTGTGTTCGTCTAATCGAGCAATAATTGATTGAATGATTGAATGATTGAACGACAGCGTCGCAATGCTCCGTTATTATAATCAGCTCCTCTATTTGTTCAACAATTGATGGGAGTTTGATCTTAATTTATTTGATCCGTGTCAGGAGTTGAAGCTGGTTGAGTGGTTAAATATATATTGACACGGAGTGGTTCAGTAAGGTGTGTTGTTAGTTAAGTCTGAAAGGGCATCATCATCAACAGCCGTTAACAGTCAACTGCTGGACATAAGCCTCTCTTTAGAAAGGTTTTGGCTTACTATACCACGCTGGCCAGACGGGTTGCTATAGGGTTTGTGTCAAGTTTTCCTTCTCTCTGCAGTTTTTTCCCTTGGGCTCTTACGACACCCACGGGATGAATTGGGGTAGTGACATTCCGTATTCTTAATCCGTCACTACACGGGGAGTTTGAGCTCTGGTGTTTTTACAACTATGTAGTCGAAATATCGACATATTAGCGATTAGGCTTCCATTTATATTTATAAATATTCTACAACATGTATGGAAAAGTTCCGTAAAATATTTAAACGCACATTTGATTACATACGTTTAGTAGAAAGACGGTTGTGGTTAGAATGCAAGAAACTTAAAAACAGGAAACCACATTGCCCTACTTGGGAACCAAACCGAAGTACCTACAACTTATTTTAAAATAAACCGGATTATAAACTATCATTTAATTAGTTTTTAGGACAGAAAATTACGACATTGCTATTACTTATATACTAGTAATCATCCACGGCTTTGCTCGGATAGCAGACCATTATTAGCTTACATTATTTTCGGGTCACATACAAAAATAACCTAACAAATCTACAAAAAAAATACAAAAAACTACCTATTTATGAAGAATATCTATTAATTTAAAAGAGTTCTACCAGTTACATATAAATTTCATACAAGTACCATCATAATCGCCCACCATGTCATATGTCATAAGCCCATGGGTGACCTACATGGCTTTCTATTGACACACATAGGAACCACTTTGTTCAGAAAACATGCATTATAGAAAATTTTCAACATATATTCTAAACTAGCTGACCCGCGCAACTTCGTCTGCGTCTCTCAATAGTAATAAATTTTTTCCGTTTTCGAAACATTTTTCATTGGTGCTCCGCTCCTATTTTTCTTAGCGTGATGATATATAGCCTATAGCCTTCCTCTATAAATGGGCTATCTAATACTAAAATAATTTTTCAAATCGGAGCAGTAGTTCCTGAGATTAGCGCGTTCAAACAAACAAACTCTTCAGCTTTATAATATTAGTATAGACGTACTCGTATAGATGAATCAAAGTTAATTAAGTTAAGAATAGAATAGTTAAGAATGAGTAAGTTGTATGTTTGTAACTCAGCAAGTATATATGTATATGTCACACTGTTTTTTTTTTATTTTAGAGGAGGCAGACGAGCAGACGGGTCACCTGACGGAAAGTGACTATCGCCGCCCATGAACGTCTGCAACTCAGGAGTCAACAACGCGTTGCCGGCCTTTTAGGAAGAAGTACGCTCTTTTCTTGAAGGTTTGAAGGTCGTATCGGTCCGGAAATACCGAAGACGATAACTCCGTTCCACAGATTGGTTGTGCGGGGCAAAAAGTGTGTGTTTCTGTCCATTTCCTTAATCATTATAATATTTATGTATTTAGAAATATATGTGTTTATCAGCAGGCTCTGCCTAGTTTGGGATCATACGGCCGTGTGTGAGATATTATTATTGTGTTACCACGCTTTGGGATCCCCCCCCTCCCAGGATCAGGAGGAAGGGAGGTATATCGCCTCTTTGATCTATAACAGTCTCAGACCCGTTCTCTTATTTGAGATTTGGAGTCCCTCTTTTCCGAGGTGATGCTGATTTATATTTTTCTATTTCATACCTGTAAATGATTACATTACCAAGAAGATGTCGTCAAGCTAATTGCGGGCTACAAAAATAAGTTTTTTTTTTGACGGGGTGGAAAATCCCTTCGGATCTCCTGCTCCTCGGGGACTCAGGAGCCAGGAGTATGTAGTGATTCCACTAAAAACCACCCCGACGGCCGGCCTCAGGTGTCCTACTCTGGGGAGGATCCGGGCCATGTTATTTCAGGTTCTCCCTGAATGGACACCATGCCTAATCAGGCCCTATCCCAGGGGAGAACACTTCCCCCAGCTACAAAAATACCTACCAAAACCGTCAGCAGTCTTACACATTGCGTAAAAAAGGGTAGAAAAATGCTGATTACGAGAAAATACAGATAACTAACCTTATTATCTCTTTACTAATAGACCTGTAATAAACCTGAAGAGTTTGTTTGTTTGGTTGAACGCGCTAATCTCACGAACTACTGGTTCAAATTGAAAAATTCTTTTAATGTTGGATAGCTCATTTATCAAGGAAGGCTATGGGTTTTATAACATAACGGTACAACCAATAGGAGCGAACCTCAATAATAAATGTTGCAAAAACGATTATTTTTCCTTTTCAGAGACGCTGATGAGCTGGTCAGTTATAGTTGAATATATTAATAAAATAAATAAATAAATTTATTAGTATACAAAATGCAATTAATACGTACAATTCAAGTCAGATCACATAACCCGGCCCGCGTCGCTCCCGGTGCGAAGGTGCCCATGATACTGGCAGCATTGCCTCGCTGAATTGCGGACAACCTTTGTACCAGAAACGAGCTGGAGCGGGAGTCATCACTTTTAAAAAGAATATATTTAAAAAGATTTCTCTACTCACCAGTCCAAGAATATCCAAAACCATAGACACTGCACACACTGTCACTAAACTTCACTATTAGTAATAATAATAATTATATTTTCGTATGTTTTTAGTATTTGTTAATGATCACGGCATTTTCACACTCCGTACTAATGGTCTCACTAGTCATCAGTTTGAAAATAACCTGAAACAAAGAAATTAAGTATTATTAGTAAATAGTTTAAGATACTGGTGCTAATTCTGTTGTTCGAAAACTCTCTAAACTAAACTAAAAATCACTAAAATTTAGTTTAGAACTGTCAAGTACTACGTTTTCAGAATCAGAAACGTTATTTGACAGGACTAAAGTTTTTTTTTAATGATTTTTAGTTTAGTTTAGAGAGTTTTCTAACAACAGAATTAGCACCACTGAGTCTTTGGGACTAGTCCCTCAACCCTGTATAATCTATACATTGATGACTAGCTATTATGTGTGATTTATTTATTGTTTTTATTTTTAACCGTTAATCCCTTTTGTACCCCCTTATAGGTGAAACTAAAAAAAAAATCTTTTTAATGGGTGCTTTCAACATAGAAAGCATAAGCTGTTAAATTTCGGGTTTGTATATAAGACTTGACAGGTTACAGTGTACTGGTATGAGTTGTAACTGGGTATGAGTTTTGCTTATGGACAAATATGAACTAAAAAAAAAGAACTTTGTTGTAGTATAAAAATTCAATGACAATTCAATTTATTAATTACCTGGGCCTCAATTCTGCTATTTCAATATTGTATTAATAGACTGTCG